AGCACCTCCCCCCTTCCTGGCCTCCCAGTGCCCCGTCCCCTGCGGGTCTCCCCCAGCCCTGCCAACCTGCCCGGCAGCGGCGCGGCCCTGAAGGAGCTGCAGAGGAGCCGCTCCAGAGGCACTTTGGAGCCCTGAGCAATGCAGCCAGCAACACACAGGCAGGACACAGAGGGGGCTTCCTGGCTGGGGGAGGGCTTGTAGCCATCTCCAAGGACAAGGTTCTCAGGCATCCCCACAGCTCTGCCCATGCATTCTGCCACAAGCATTGAGGCTCCAGCAGAACCACCAAAGGCCAAGGGGCTTCTGCCCACTTTTGCTGGCACGCTGCCCAGCGGGGCAAGCCTTGCTGAGCACAAGGACCCCTTTTCCCCTCTTCCCCAAGGCCCTGTGGACACTGGGCAGCAAAAAAAACTCCTGGGCCTCTGTGTTTGGTAACATGCCTGTCATATTGCCATATGTCATGGGTTTGCTCTGGGCCAATTTTTTCTCACCCCCCACACAATTGCTATAAGTTGAGAGAAGGTTTATGCAGACAAAGGAGATCTGATTGGGGAGAATAATATTAGCATTTATTACTAGCCAGATAAATCCTAGAGAACTATAGCTACAACAATTCTAATTAAGTAAAAATACTATGTATTTACAAAAGTACTCCTCCAGCCTTTGTATCAGTTCAGGAGGAGAAGCTGTCTCTTTCTCCATTTCCAGAGCTACAGGTCTTTTAAAGAAATTTGCAGCACTCCAAAGTTTTTCTTCTATTATCTCAAGGATGACAACTCTGATTCGTTGCAGCTGGAATGGCTTCTCTTTTTCTCTTTCTTCTCTGTCGGCCTCAGGGCTGGGCCTACCCACTCCTGGGCTAAGACTAGAGGCTGGGGGTTACCCAGGCCCTGAAGGGTCTTCCATGGACAAGCATCTTCCCCACAGGCTTTGGTGGCCCCAGTAGAGGGAAATTGATGGATCAGTTCTCCCCAGAGCTGCAGCAGCACAGGCAGACACTGCCCTGCAGAAAAGGCCGGGTTTTCCACGCCCTGCAGAGCCAGGCTTGGAGCTGCGGGCATCTGGAGTAGGGAGCTGTCTGGGCAGCTCTCAGCCCGTCGCAGGGTTGAACTGCCAGGCCTACGATGGATGGCGACTCTGATGGCATCTGTCACGACTCAAAGGGCTGGAACAGGCAGGAATGGAGTCTACCAGAATTTGAAGAATGAAGCTCTCCGGACAGGTCTGATGATGTAGATTGTTTGACTTGCCAGGTTTGAGATGGCAGGGCTGTCATCAGTCATGGCTTGAAGGGCTGGAAGAGAAAGGGAGAGAGCCAAGGTCAGAGGCCAGGTCTGTGGGGAGCCGAGGAGACCCTGGTGCAAGGGCCATGCCAGCCAGCTCTTGCCATGGCCAGGTGGGAGCAGGGCCCAAGGGGATCAGCTGGAAGGTGCTGGCCACCCATACCGCCCTGTGCCCCTGAAATCTCTCTCCGCTCGGCCCAGGCCGCCCCTGGTGCGTGCAGGGAGCAGAGCCCTGCGCAGCCGGGGCAGGACTGCAGCTCCTCCTGCCAACCCCTGCTGCCAGCCCACTGCCCTCACTCACCCTGGTAGATGAGCTGCAGCTCTTGCTGCTCCTCCCTCAGGTACCTGCCGGCGATCCCTGGGAACACAGAGCGTGTCAGGGCCCCAGAGGCACAGGTGTCCCGCAGCGGCGCTGCCAGCCCGGCCACACGGCCTCCTGGCCTGG